TCAATTCTAAACAAGTAAGCCATTTTTAAAAACCAATGAAGAAGAAAAAAACATTTGAACATGATCACTCTCAGTTTCAAACATTTTGTATACATATACATGTTCAAGAGTTCAAGGATATTACATATTGAATAATTAAAGTTATCACGAGGATTGTAATGTTTAAAGCAGATGTCTTAACAAATGTCAGTAGTCAAGTCACATTTATTTATACAGCGCTTTTTACAATAAAGATTGTTTCAAAGCAGCTTTACATAGATAACAGAAAAATAATGCAAAAAAGTTTGTTTCCAGAAGAAAATAGCATCACAGTCCAGCTTAAGTAAGTTCAGTGATGGTTCATTTTTGTTTTAAAAAAAGTTATTAATTTAGTTAATTTATATATACCGGTAGCTGCTCTGGAGTAAACCGTGATGTCATCGTCCAGCTCAGTTCAGTTCTTGTATAATAGTGTCAATGCAGGCAGATCAATACTATTGTTGAATATTAAATTAATTGTCAAATTGAATGTCCCCAACTAAGCAAGCCAAGCCAGTGGCAACAAAGGTGGAACAACTCCCATCAGTGGCAGAGTGGAGAATAAAAACCTTGGGGGAACCCAGGCTCAGTCGGGGGGCCAGTTCTCCTCTGGCCGACGAACGAACAGTGTATGATTATGATTCAGGCAGCATTACAGGTCAGAAGTCAGATTGGTTTGGAACAATCAGAATAATATCCAGTTCCATCTGGTTGAAGATCGAAGTCACGCCGGTATAGAGTAGACCGGGAAGATTTTAAAACGAGCCGTTCATTCATAAATACACAAGATCGCTGTGAAAATACAGACCGGAAGACAAAAGACAACTGGCGCAGCGCTGAAAAGGGGCAGGGCTACATAAGGTCTATAGGATACACAGGTATAAAAAATGGATGGATGGATGGATGGATGTTTAGAAAAAATTTGAACAGATATGAATACATTATGTACAGTATGAAACCAAGTTAGCCATAATATTTTTGGCTGCAACATGCATCATTTGATATATTGTTGCTGTATTGGGCAATTCAATTCTTTGTGACCTTCTTCTCCAAAAATCTGTTACTTAAGATGTTGCCTGTTGCCTTGTGGTATGAGTGGTTCCTTAAAAATATCCACTCAAGTTTAGAGTATAGCCTATAGAACTTCAAGCTTTAGTTTAGCAGTCAGTTGTCAGTCACATTTCTGTAAAATACGTCCTGTGGTCTTGAATGTTATTACAAAGAGAGTGTTGTAATGGTTATGCCGGGTTCAGAGTGTCGCCATGAACGAATCAATTGTTTTATCTCGTATAGTCTGTCAGTGGGCGACAAACGAAGCCACATTTGTGGCATTTCACAACGTTACGACAGAAAGTCTGGCATGTTTCATTTTTTCGTTCCTCCTCGACTGGTTCCATCAGATCTGTGGCGTTGACCAATAGGAGCACAGAAGCGAACGAGAGATGATGGTATTGGTGCCGCTAGGTGGAATTATGCAATAGAGGAAAGGTTCGTGGAACTATGACAATATTCCTGCTTTTATTGTGTTTCCTTGAGGGACTATATGACACGGAAAAAGATAAATGCTAGCGAGTGATAATGGCGGTGCTTCAGCAACCAAGTTAGTACTGGAATTAGCATTAGCTAACACACCACTTCGGTAGCCTGTTTGTTTACTTTCTTGTTTCTGGAAGTCAGTCCAATATTATCTGCCTGCAGTCCCGGAGGCTGCATTTTCAGGACCCCACTTCTAGGACCGCATTTCTAGGACCCTAGTTTTTTTGTGACAGCGCCACCTACCGAGTCGGAGAACCGCAGTCCCAGGAACGCATTTCCAGGACCCTAGTTTGGAGGAACGAAAAAAGTGCCACCAAGGCAGTATCTCCACCCAGTTTTAACTACATTAGAGTTTTTAAAAAAGTTTTATTACACCCAAATACTACTTTCTTTATTGCAATTAAACCAGGTTCCTAGGAATGTTGAGAAATTGGGTCTAAGTAGCATACTATAATATAACTCAAGTAAAATAAACAAGGAATCATGTTATAGCCTTTTCAGTCACTCGATGGACCACATTTTCAAGTACAGAGGGAAGACAAGGATGACTCAGGGGGTAGATTTAAGATTGTGTATTTTACAAAATAATATATAACACTTGAACTTGAACACACAAAATCTTTTATAAAATAATATATAACAACTGAAATTGAACACACAAAATATTTTACAAAATAATATGTAACAACTGAACTTGAACACACACAAAAACAAATTTGATCATGACGTGAACCACTTCAATGGATGGACAAACACATGGACAACATCATCACTGACTCCTAAGAGAGAGAAAGAGAAGTGAATTAAATAAGGAACATTTAGTTGAACATGTTCTACTCTCTAATTTTAAAATTTCATATTTAAAAGATCTTAGTTACCACAGAGTAATGATAATGATAAAAATAATGATATCAATCTTCATACCAATTACTGTTCATAATACAATTATTGCATACTGTTCAAAGATTTGGAAAAAAAAATGATTTTGATGTTGTGGGAACAAAGGTTCTAGAAACACTCATGTCAATAAAGCCCATCTGAACTGAGAAAAAAATAATAGAGAGAGATGCAAGAAATCTGAATAGAAATAACATTATTGACACGACTTTTCCTGACCATATATAAGTAGGCCTATACAGTAAATGACACAATCTAACACGTGGGATTTTAACAGTCAATTATTATAATGGCCTCTCTGATATGTCTGACTATTAAAATGTCATATGTCTCAACCAACTTTATAAAACCATGTCAAAATGAAGAGACGTACACATAACATGTATTGTGGGTAACGTTAACAGGCTTACTGTGAGCACGTGACAGTGAAAACATTACGATTATTTTAACTGAATTAAAATGGAAAAACAATGAGTAATTAACAAGCTTTCAGAACGAACATGGTACAGTTTATTGTGCTGTAAGTAAGTCAACACAGGCTTAGCCTATCATGCAACAGCTCCGTTAAATGAACCGTAGTATTTCATTTTCCAGCATTAGAGGCTAATATATGATGGCAATGCATTCAAGACTGTTTAGCAAATCACCAGCACGTTGGCAACGTTAACTTTCCAATGAAATGCATCACAATTGTTTTTAAAGTTAAACAAATAAAAATTGATTCGCATTTGATACTCACACTCTGAATGTCATCCATTTTCGCTGGTCCTCTAATTCGGTAGGTGGCGTTGTCACTAAAAACCTAGGGTCCTAGAAATGCGGTCCTAGAAGTGGGGTCCTGAAAATGCAGCCTCCGGGACTGCAGGCAGATGCTACTCAGTCAGTCGCTAGATCTGCCCTCTCAATGACATCATGCACGTCGTTAAAGACGACAAGTGATGATTGGTCGGGAAGCAACGTGTAGTCTGAGATGTTTTTTGTCCATGACAGGACAAGAATTTAGGAGTCAAAATAGCATAATCTGACACTGACTAGTAACAGACAAGAATATTGTGTAGTCTGAACCTGAATTACTCTAGCTATATCAACACTGAACATCTTATAGACCTTAGAGCAGAATGGAAATAGGAAGCTTTTGAATGAAGCAACAATGCAGTTATGCGCAATGTTGAGGCCTTCATCTCTTGGCGCAGAAGAGAAAGTATAAAACATAGGTAGTTATGCAAAACAAAGAGAAATGTGCAGTGACATCTGATATAGTTATTGTGCTTGTATTTTAAAACTTTCATTTATAACAGCTGAATTCATCCAGCTGGCAGCCCAGCTAACACAAATACGTAACTGTTACGTAACTGCAACGTAATCTGGTGACCAAACTTTCGTCGTGGCGACGTAATTGGTTACGTAGTGGCAACCGGAAAAGTGAAATTCCCAGATACGTTGTTACAACGTAACTTTGCAACGTTGTCAGTAAGTAACTGCGACGTTGTGGCAACGTCGTGGATCAATAGTCGTGTGTTGGTAACCAGTTGGTCATTTTAGTTTTAATTAATATGGGCGGACAAGCAGTGGTCTAATTTAACTTGTCCTCATTTTCCCAAAACTATTTTTTAAACTTTTCAACGACATACAAAAGATACAGACTCAGTATTTGGTTAATTCAGTTCATTTACTATAGAACAAAGCACAAACAACAGCAAAAACAGTGTACAAACAGGTTTATAAGCATTTAAATGAAGAAGGTTTTATATTAATATAATTAAAATACTGTTTTTCTATTTTAATATACTTTAAAATATAATTTAATCCTGTGATGCAAAGCTGAATTTTCAGAATCATTAATCCAGTCTTCAGTGTTACATGATATAATATTATACACAGGAATAAATTACACTACTATATTTTCACATAGAAAACAGCTGTTTTACATTATGATAATAATGTTGTTGTTTTTTTTGTCAAATAAATGCAAGCTTGATAAGCAGAATAGTAATGTTTCCAAACTTTTGACCAGTACTGTATATGATTTTATACAAAATAAATAGTAGTTAATAAGATTGACACTGTATTATATCTAGTATTATTGAAGCAAAACAGCGTCCCTATAACAGTGCAATTTGTAGATTGTAAGTCTTTGAGAAAATGTTTTATGAGTTGCAAACCTCTTTTTCTTTCCTTTATCTCTCACAAACACAACACATCAGTTACACCTTTTTAAATTCTTCATTGCAGGTGCACAAATCCTATTCTACAAATTACCAAACTCATAGGGTCATATTTTTGTTGATAAACAGTAACATTTTGGCCAATTATGCACATTTCTTGGTGTATAATTTTGTGAATCATCTATACTGTTTGGCTATTCTCATGTGGTCACACTTCACTTTTTATTCACAGTCACATATGCTCAAACCCCCTGTGTGGCCGCGCCTTAAATGTCAGCATACATTTCTAACTTTGTGATTTGAAAAAAATAAAAGTATTTGTGCACCTCCAATGAAGAATTTGAAAAGCTGTAACTGCAGTGTTTTTTGTGAAAGAGAAAAAAGTTTGAAACTTCTATAAAAAAATAAAAAAACTTTCTCTCTGTGACTTTAAATGTACTGATGTTTGACTACTTTACACCTACAGATTCCACTGTCACAGGTGCTCAGTTTTGCTATAATAAAACCTATACAGAACATAGTAGTAATCAGCCATCCATGCAAAAGCAGAGGTCGGTGTGGTGTTCAGGTACATCAGTCCAGGCCAACATCTCACGCCTTGATGCCTTCCGCTGCGGATCCCAGAAAACCTGCAATACAAACATAGTACAGTTCAAAATCTATCATACATACATCTCATCTGGTATCACAAATTATCATTCCAGGTTCAATTTAAAATTAGGGTTAGGTTAAATGCTCAATATTAGGGCTGCACAATATTGAAAACCTTAAATCAAATATTTTGTTTATCTGCTGCTATATATATTGCGATATAAAAACAAATTTCAAGAGATTATTTATTTAGAGGAGTGAATTGCATTGAAAATTATAAACAAATTACAAGCATGGATAAATTCAATAGAAGAAAAATACAACTGAAATAAGCAGTGCATGATGTTTTTTAGGAAAATCTAACTTATCAGGTACGGAAATTGAATTATCGAATGTAAAATAAGTCTTCACTGAGGTACAGCCTCTCCCTACTCTTACAAAATTACAAACAACCAGCCTGAAAAACACATGTTGTATGAAGACTGTTTAAAACACCCCTCCTAATCCTCACAGAATTTGCAAGACAATGTCTATACTAAATAGTGTGTGTAATTTCTTCAGTACCGTCAGCAGAACCGATAATGTCTGGGCTTATGCGGTCTTCCTTAATTTGGCCCCAGGGCCCGTTTAATGTTTAATACCGGGTTTCGGAACCTATCCCTACATATGGATGAAGGCCTGTTGTGTTCTGTCTCTTGGTTTGTGATAGTGGCAGCTATTGTGAAACTCACCTTCGTCATGTACTGAGTGTTGATGGCATCAAGATCTCGTCCTGAAGAATCACAGGGTCAAAGATATCTCATCTGGTAACAAGAGCATAGCCATAACTTTAAAAACTCTAATGATATCTTTACCCCCTGATATTGTATTGCGGATATACATTCAAACATTTTAAAGGCTAAGAGTATGAGCCATGAGTAAACTGGACAGATATCTGTGAAAAATAACTTGCGTGCCTAAAGTTGTCGACTCCCTGAATTCAGCATTTAAAAGTAAAAAGAATTTCAGTATTTACCAGTAAAAAATACATAAAAAATACCTTTGAGTTGGACAGTATGGTGTCTGTCTCATTGGCCAACATAATTAAAAACACACCTAGAGAAAAAAAAAAAATATATATATATAGGCCTATATATATATACCAATGACCATGATATCCTGTTATCATAATAGTTAAATGAATTATCACTATGACCATTATAACATTATATTTGCCGCCTGCGGCCTATTATTTAGCTGATTATTTAGCCTACAGGCTTCTCAAGGACAATGTCAGTGAAAAAAACGGGGGTTAATATATTTAAAGTGTGAGACTTCATTCAAAAGCATAAATCCTACAGACCCACAACTATTGAACAGTATGTTTGAGGTTTTGCTTAATAGTCGAGTTCATAGCCGTGGAGGTTGTCTTGGACAGGGGGTGCAGCAGGCCATCAGCATGATGATCTTCTAGAAAATAACATGCAATGTGTCACAGAGCCAACAATGTTACATAGAATTTACAATAGAACAAAGGGTTTATTACAAGGAAGCAAGCTAGAGCAGAGATGAAATGCAGAAAAAATCTTAAGGTAATATATTGTGCAATAAATGCATATGAAATTATTATCATGATTAAACAATAATTCCCCCTTTCTATCTTTGTAAGTGACGTCATTAACAGTACGTTACAGTGAATTATTTCAGGTTAAATAAATTAGCTTACTTCCAATCACCCATTGACAAATTACCAGCAAAACAAAACTATCAAAAACTGTTATCAACACAAAAATGTGGTTAAAAACCTAAACTTATGTAAAACAAGAGCTCAATTGTAACGTAAACTTAACTTAGCTCTTCTGAAAACGGTTGAGATGCTAACGGACTTTTTCCGTTAAGACACAAAACCATTTCTATAAAGTAAATATTCAACAGAAGTGTATCAGTTACACGTAAGAAAGATGTCAGGAACGTTTGTATGTATTATTTGTGTGATTTTGGTAACTAAACTTACCTGAAAGCAGTGAAAACAACAGTGAGAAACGCTAGTTTTGCTGTTTGTCAGTTGATGAGGTTTCCTCGTTTCCATGGTTTCCATCTGCTCTCGCGCGCTCCTGTCTTTGAATCAGATAGCTTTGAATGCGACTCAATGTTTACGCGCACGTACGCCCATTGAAACCACAGAACACGTAAAAAAGGTACGCAGAATTTAAATAAACATCTAGAATTATAACATTTAACTATTTAAAATATCATTAATTTTAAATAATAAATTTAAAACTCATTGTGTAGTTCTATGACCCATTCACTTCACAATTATGCTTTATTTTTTTATACCATTTTGCTTTTATTTTTATTGTAAAGCAATTTCAAGACATCTGTATTATATATATATATATATATATATATATATATATATTACATTAAAAGAGAATATGAATTAAGCACTATCTTTATATAAATTAAAGATGGTAATGAAATTACGGGCCCGTGACGTTGCAGTTTCGTTGCCAGTAAGTCATAAAATTACCAAGTTATTACGATTAGAGTACGTATCTGCGACGTTGTTGGTTATTTTATAACCTTAGGAGGACGTACTGACGACGTTGTGGTTTGGTCATATGATGGTAATGAAATTACGGGCATGCGACGTTGTAGTTACGTTGCCAGTAAGTCATAAAATTACCAAGTAATTACGATTAGAGTACGTATCTGCGACGTTGTTGGTTGTCTTATAACCTTAGGAGACCGTACTGACGACGTTGTCAGTTGGTAATTTGATGGTAATAAAATTACAGACATGCGACGTCGAGACTACGTTGTCAGTTGGTAAGTCATGAAATTACCAAAAAGTACGAATAGATTACGTAACTGCGACGTCGTGTGACGACACAGCTTAATGCTCATTGGTTTAAACAACCGTGATGTATTGTTCTCTTTTAAAATGTTTGATTTTAAAACTCTGATATCATGTTTTATGTGTATAGATTATGTGTGGATATCCCCAAACTCTCAGACAGTGCGATCTATTTGATGTAATTTTTTTTTTTTAATTAAAAATAAAAACACATATCTGTAAAAAAAAAAATGATTCATAAACATATAGACCTATTTAAAATGGAATTAAATAAGTACTTCGAGTGTCTTGTTCATTATATTTATTTTCATATTCAAGCAACAAAACTTAAAATACATCCAGTTTATTAGCAACACCGTGCACGAGTGTGAATCCCGTGAATCCCGCGATATCCGCCTTTGATCTCACAGGTGTCAGATCCACTCAAGGGGGTAATCCATCGACCGGAAGTTGAAGCCGGCCGGTAGCCGCCATGTTGTAGCAGAACTTCACTTGCGTTAGCATTTCCATTGACTCCCAGTCATTTTGGCGTCACTTTGACAGCGAATAACTTTACATCTGAGGCGTTTAAAGACTCCATTTGTCCATTATTTATTTCTAAAGAAACACGACAATGTATAATGGGCTCCATTACCTTCTATGTTACATTATGGCCCCGTAGAAACAGATTTAGTAAAAATAGGCTAACGATTGCGTCATAACCACTCGACTCTCTGTCGCGCTGTACAGAAATGACCGTACAGACAGGAGGAGAAGCTCGCAGGCAATCGGGGGGACGTCCCGTCAAGGGAGAAGCCCATAGATAATGAGTCCATAAAAGCAACGGAATACTTACTCCTGCTCACTCACGCCAAAGAACTCTTTGCTCAAGTTCCCCGTCTCTGCAAGATTAACGTTGGCAGTTTTCACGCACAGCTACTAGAAGATTAACGTCTGTCAGACAGGTTGCTCACGTCATCAAGCTTAGTTTGAGTCGGTCTGAGTCTGCGCGTCAGGAACGGAAGTTCTCAAAAATCGCTAAAAGTGGGCTTCAACTGTCTCAACTGAGTTCCAATGAGATCGCTCTGTCCATTTCTTTTACTGTCTATGGATCCACTGCGAGAAGAGCGATCTGTCCGGCTTGCCTGCGCTTTTTTCACTCCTCCTCTCACTGCAGCCGCCTACTCTCGACTACATTTCAGGCGAGGCAAGGCGCATCTCAAACAAGCCTATTCTATATAGATCAGTGGTTCAGTATGTAGACGCGTAGTGTTTCTTTACAAAGTAACATCGCCAACTACTGGCCTGGCATGAATGATACATCGCTTTTAATAGTTTTCGCGGATCCATGTGAACGGGGATCGTTTTGACCACGTTAACGTCTGTACGTGAAAAATGCAAAGGAAAAACAAATCCATCGTTGTCGTATAAACGCACCCTTAGTTTAGCCACTTACCAAGTTTTGAAATGACCAAATCTACATGGGCCGAGAGAGCTCAACGCGCTGCAACTGAAGAAAACGCATGCAAATAGAAGACAACGCGTGCAAATAGAAAAAAAACACATGCAAATAAAATAAAACGCATGCAAATAGAAAAAAAAAACGCGTGCAAATAAAAAAAAACACCCGCAAATTAAGAAAACATCTTCATCAGTTTCACAACACAGGTGTGCTCCAAATACTCACTACACCACCAAATACATAAACGTGCTGCAAATAACACAGAGCACAACGGAAATGTTTCCAGGGGAACCAAATAAGTGACGAACCCGGCTGGGACATGCCGGCATAGATATCCATGCCGGCATAGATACGCGTGCTGGTGCTTCCAGCTTAAAATTATACTTTATTTATTTGTTTATTTATTTATTTGTTTGTGCAAAACATACAGAGATTAATTTTTTTATGATATACAACTTGTATACAATGTACAAAATGTATTAACAATATGTTCAATGTCATCAGAATACAAATGAGAAAAGAACAATGAGCTGGAAACTAAAATAAATAAATAAAAAAGATGAAGAAGAAAATCATGAAGGAAAGATATTTATCTATAGATCAGTTACACTGTACAAATTGTTTCATGTTATTACATTTTCATAAAGAAAAGTTTCATAAGAAATGTTAGGTAATGTAGGGTCCAAAATTTTAAAGTTGAGACACAGATATATAACGCATATTTTAAAAGCTTTTTTTGTAAACTAAAAATAAAAATGTATTTGCATCCGTTATGTTAACAGCATCATATTTCTGTGGTAAGACCAGCTGATGGACCGTGCTGCGTTGTCATGGGAACATCCCAGGTGAAAATAATGAGGAAATTACGTTGTCTTTAGTAGCTCCCTTCATCAAGTGCGCTCCACACGGCTCCCTAACAGCCCACTAGAGCCTTGCTCACTCAAAAAGGGCTCTGCAATCTGCCCTTCGAAGGGAGTATGGCATAGGGAAGCTCACGAGCAATAAGCACGTCTCAGCCGGGTCCGTCACTTATTTGGTTCCCCTGGAAACATTTCCGTTGTGGTCTGTGTTATTTGCAGCGCGTTTTCTGTATTTGGTTGTGTTGTGAACTTTTGCAGCGCGTTTCCTTATTTGGAGCACACGTGTGTTGTGAAACTGATGAAGATGTTTTTTTTTTATTTGCAGGTGTTTTTTTCTATTTGCACGCGTGTTTTTCTATTTGCATGTGTTTTTTTCTATTTGCATGCGTTTTTTTCTATTTGCACGCGTTTTTCTCCGTATTACGGAGCCCGGGAAGTCACCTGTTGGAAAAAAAAAAACAATTCGTGGCGACGGTTTTGCAATCCGTCCGCTCAGTTTATAAACCGTACTCACGAATTCTCAATCTGTTCCCTCGGTTTAACAAATCGTGCTCACGGATTAATAAACCGTACCCACGAGTTCCTAATCCGCGCTCTTAGATTTGTAAACCGTGCCTTCAGTTTTTGCAATCTGTACCCACAAATTCATAAACCGTGCCCACGCTTTCGCAATCCGTTCCCACGGGTTTGTAAACTGTACTCACGGATTTGTGTCCTCTCCCCCAGTCTGTGCCAACCAGGCCTTCTGCGGGATGCATTTATTATGTTTAAACTTAATTCTTTTGATGGATAATTTCTTGAATTTTCTAAGAAACGACATTTAGGCTACTTGTATCTTTAGAGTCCATTTGTTTAGGAGGAAAAAGCTCAGTATAATAGAATAAGCAAAAAAA